CACGTCCACAATCCAGGTGTCACCACAGTGTGTGCATGCTGGGCTCTCCTGAGGCCCTGATAAGCGTTCTAGGGAGACACTCGGCTCAGAAAATGCCCCCGCGTGGTTTCGGTTTTCCCGTAAACACCGGAGCCGGGCTGTGGATGGCCAGAGGCGGGAGCAGCACCAGGCGCTCGTGACGGGCTGTGCTCGTTCTCGGTAGGATAGCAGCTGGACTCGTCGCCGAGCTGCACGCAGCCAGCATCCCATGCCCCGACCCAGGAGGAGAGCCAGGCTGCTGCTGTTTTACCGAAACAAAGTATTTGAAATGTAGGCTTTGCTTGTAAGGCTCAAACTGCGTGTAGTCAGGACAGACACGTTATGGCTGCAGTTGTCACCGAGCTGCCTGCAGGGTAGACTCCCGGCCACCGTGGTGAGCTCTGGGCCTGGAGCCTGGGACTGTGCATGTCTCAGCCTCCGAGACCAGACACACAGCCGTGTTTGTAGGTGGCTGCTGGCGCCCAAGCCAGGGGCAGGCATCCATCCAGGCTGGGTGGGGGCCGACCCTAAGTGTCACCTGACAGGTCCCTTCAGGTCCCTCCCCCTTTGAGAATTATCACAATAAGAATCCAGCACATGATGCCCGAGAAAGCCCTTCCATCACATTCCTGTCAGGTCGAAAGACGGTCTCAGATGAGGCGGCCTGGGGAGCCGGCGCCTGGAAGTGGCGGTGACTGTCAGCCAGGCTGAGCGTCGGTCAGCGGCAGGTCGGCGAGTGTGTAGTGAAGCGGTAGATCCGTGTCAGCCCTGGATCGGGGGAGCAAGAATTGGGCCTGTGTCTGCGAGGACTGTGCACCGCGGTCTGGCCTGTGTCCCCAGGAGGACACCGCGTGCCCCTCGCTCTGCGGCTCCCAGCTCTCCCACAGACCAGCCGCTTCTTGGTGATCGTCCCTCGCTTCTCGGCCTTTCTGCTTCCTCTCACTCACCGCACACAAACATTATCTCAGTATAAGACACACGTGACCTGTTCTATACTAGTTCCTCATCTTCTACCTCCTTAACTCTCTGTCACTGGCTTTCTGATCGACCTACCCAGTGTCTTTTCAAGCCAAAATTGGTTGGTGTCTTTGGGACCTTGTAATACTTTTTTCTCTGAATTATGACTAATTGGCGCACTGGACTGGCATACACATGCATATGAATCTTATTCTCACTTGCCTATGACACCCAGTAATATTCTCAGCTTCTGTTTGTTGCTAAATTTTGTGTTTTTAGCCGTAAAATGTTATTTTCCCACATAGCAGAAGTTTTTATGATTTTTCTCTTCTCTCTTCTCTCCTCTGGGGAGTCCCTTCCCCTTTCCATAAACTGTGGCCCCCGTGCGGCTGTGCCCGTCTCTCCTCGCCCCGCAGGGTTCTACGGCCTGGACGAGTCTGACCTGGACAAGGTCTTCCACCTGCCGACCACCACGTTCATCGGGGGCCAGGAGCCGGCGCTTCCGCTGCGCGAGATCATCCGGCGGCTGGAGGTGAGTCCCGCGTGGGCAGGGGCCTCCCGGCCGGGCTGGGACTTTCTCAGTCTCATACTTTTTAAAATGTAAGGGAAATGGAACTTTTTCCTATTCGTGGTTTTTCTTTTTGCAATCGGGCATAGAAAGGGGAAAACATGTCTGTCGTTCGATCCTCCTGGGACCTGACTTCAGATTGGGAGGTCTCCAACGCGTAGCATGAGCCCGGGCTGCTCGCCCCTCCTGCCCGCCCCTGTTCCCTATTCTTTCCCCACTCCTTTTGGGACTCGGGCACTAAGCCCGCGGGGCACCTTGCACACACACACACGGAGCTGGCCTCTGCCCGTCACAGTGGCCTCTGGGGTGTGTGGAAGGGAGGCCCTGTCCTCCAGGCCTGTGGTTGAGCTGGCAGCTGACGCAGCTGGTGCGTCCCATCTGTGTGCACAGATGGCCTACTGTCAGCACATCGGGGTCGAGTTCATGTTCATCAATGACCTGGAGCAGTGCCAGTGGATCCGGCAGAAGTTCGAGACACCCGGGGTCATGCAGTTCACCAATGAAGAGAAGCGGACGCTGCTCGCCCGGCTCGTGCGGTCCACCAGGTGCAAGCCTTGTGGGGTGGGCCTGGTGACCGGGTTGGGTGGCTTTGGGGCATGGCATCAGGCCTGTGACTTGCTCCTTGTGGCGGCCGGGTCCCGCGCAGGTTCGAGGAGTTCCTGCAGCGGAAGTGGTCATCCGAGAAGCGCTTTGGCCTGGAAGGCTGCGAGGTTCTGATCCCGGCCCTCAAGACCATCATCGACAAGTCCAGCGAGAATGGCGTGGACTACGTCATCATGGGGATGCCACACAGGTACCTGCCTGCTCGCCCTCCCACACTCGCCCCCCAGCTCCAGAGTGTCCCCTACCTCTGCACTCACTGTCACACCCAAGGCACGGTGGTTTCAGACAGCACCTGGGCCTGGCGCTGTGTCTTATAAAAATGAAGCACAGATGCCCTTGTCAGGGTCACAGCAGAGAGAGGCTGACTGAGAGGGAAGGGCACTCAATGCCACGAGCAAGGCGGTTCTGCTGCCCTCCTGCCCGCCGGGGCCGTGGGTGCCGGGCGAGCAGAGCCCGCGTGTCCCATGTCGGCCGTGCTCCCAGCTCCTCCCGGACAGCCAGGCAGGCGCTGCCTGGCCCCGGGGGCGGAGGGTGTGCCCGGGGCACGCTGTGGCCCTGCTCACCCCGTGTGTCCCAGGGGGCGGCTGAACGTGCTTGCGAACGTCATCCGGAAGGAGCTGGAGCAGATTTTCTGTCAGTTTGATTCGAAGCTAGAGGCAGCTGACGAGGTGAGGTGCCTGGCAGCCCACAACCCTCCGCGTGTCCTGGGCAAGCCCCCATCCTCCCCGTGGTGGGTGCAGGGCAGTCGGCTGCTGCCTCGGACTGGGCCTCACTGGTCGCCTGTCAGGGCTCCGGGGACGTGAAGTACCACCTGGGCATGTACCACCGGCGGATCAACCGCGTGACGGACAGGAACATCACCCTGTCGCTGGTGGCGAACCCTTCCCATCTCGAGGCTGCCGACCCCGTGGTGATGGGCAAGACCAAGGCTGAGCAGTTCTACTGCGGGGACACCGAGGGGAAGAAGGTGAGGTCACAGGTCCGGGCGGCCTTGCGTCGGCGGGCTGTAGCGGTGTCGTGGACGGGCCCTGCCAGGAGCAGGGGCCGCGTCCCACTGGCAGGGGCGGTCCCTCCGCTCTGCGTCTGTGGAGCAGCCCGCTCTGCAGTGTCGCGTTGGACAGAGGCGTTTTCGCTGAGTGGGAGGCAGGGCCCGGGCAGGCGCCTAGGCTCACAGACTGGTGTGTGTGGCAGTGGCGCAGGCGTCCGCATGGCCCCATGGGCGACAGGTCTCCAGGTGCGGGACGTGGGTGCTGAGCGCTGGCCGGCCTGCTCTGCACAGAAATCTTGATATTTGCAACTTGCCCAATTGGCTGTCATGGTAGAGGTGTGTCTGGTGGCCGCGTGGTTCTTCTTCCCAGCCCCAGAACTGCTCAGGGTGGAAAATGGCACGTGCGTGAGCGTCCCGCGGGGCGAGCTGGCGGTGATCTTCGGGGGCAGCAGAATCAAGGCAGTCGGAGTGGGCGCCGTCATACCTCACCGAGACGGCAGCGGGGTCTGGGGACGTTCTCTGGAGGTGGCAGGTGGCAGAGATGGAGGCAAAGTGGGGTACTGCCCACAGATGCTCTGGGGGGTCAGATGTTTCAGAAGCGGGATCGGGGATCCATCCACGGGGTTCAGTTTGAGGCACGGAAAGTCCGCGCGCCTGTGCTCGAAGGGCTCGAAGAAGAGGAAGTGCTGTCAGACGGGACGAGGCCGGGGCGGCCTCGGAGACGCGCCTTCCTGCGCCACAGAGAAAGTGTCTGGCATTTCCACTGTCCTTGGTGGGACATCGGGAGCCAGGGAGGGGGCTGAGATTTCAGAAAGCTCTGTGTGACATCTTGACATAAATTACAGACAAAAGCCATTTGAGCAGTGACACCGGGAATGCTGAGGACATCCCGAAAAGGAATGGAGTGCATCTTCAGTGATGGCAGCTGTTGTCCTGTTGGGGGTGCGGGCCAAGGGTGCTACTTCTCCCTGGGTGGTCCAGACATCTGCTTCAGGGAGCGGCCCTGTCCCCCACATACCCATGCAGACAGCCCATCCCTGAGAGCCCCCCCAGACCATCACAGCGGCTCTCCTCACTCCTGTCCCAAACCCCAGGCATGACCTGGCCTCCGTTAGACCCACGACTCAGAGCTAGAGGGCGCCGCGGGGCCCTGAGCAGCTCCGCAGCCGAGGCTGGGCGTGTCCCCAGCCTGCAGGGCTGAGCCAGCCCATCAGGCTCAGGGCCGCATGGTCCTTGGGCTGCTGTGGGCTCGCAGCAGAGACTTACTCCTTCCAGGGTCCAGAGGGGCCACGGGGCACTGTCAGCACACCGGGAGAGGGGACCTGAGGCAGCTGGGCTAGGGCGCGGCCTCCCAGATCAGGGGGGACAGTGTAATAACAGCGGAGACAGGCCCTGAGGTGCTGACAGGACAGCGAAGGCATGTGATCAAGAAGAAAGAATGTGGCCGCCAGTGACCTTCCACCCAGCAGCATCCATCTGGGGCCTGCAAAGCTGCACCCTGCTAGGGAGGTCCCCGCACAGATTCGACTCTGTCCGCTGTCCCCAAAGGCAGGGCATATGGGGTTCTGCTAAAAGACTTAGATTTTGTTCCTGAAAAGTACTCGTGGACCTTCTCTTCCTGGCACTGGGGACCATGGTGGTGACAGGAGCTAGTGAGCATCCAGGAGGGGGTGTGACAGGGATGTGGGACACTGAGCCAGTGGGCGCTGTGTGGAGGGCGGCGAGGTGTCGCACCATGTGGGGGGGTCTGTAAACCTGTGAGCAGGTAGGCACAGGAAGGCTGGACTGTGGTCGAGGCAGCACAGCAATCCTGTGCAGATTCGGACATCCCCACGTGAGCACAACCCTCCACGTCCGTTTTGTGGCTCTGCCAGAAGCATCTGGAAGCGACCATGCCCCAGTGAGCAGTGAGCACATGCACCCTGCTCTCAGTGCCTCCTCTGCTGCAGCCCATGGGCTCCCCAGGGAGACATGTGATCAGGGGGCTAGGCAGGAACGGCACCTGGTGAGCCCCAGAATCCGTGCCACACCCGGGACAGTGCAGGGGGCACAGTGACAACCACACGTCGGGGTCTGTGAGCACAGGCTAGTGCAGGGAGCAGAAGATGAGGGGTGCTCAGATGCCGCCATGCAGACGTGGGGTGGCACTGGCACCACGGGGGGGGCAGGAGATGGGGGTCCTCACAGCACGGCCACAGCCTTGCTACCCAGGACAAACAGCGACTTTAAGGGAGAGGCAGGCGGCTGCCTGTCAGGTGAGGGAAGCGAACATCGCTGGCTGGGAGCAGGCCCACACGGGCATCTCCCGGCGAGCAGCTCCCCATCCCTGCGTCGGGCCACAAAGGACCCCCAGGACCCAGGACCCTTCCAGGGTGTGGAGAAGGACGAGATGTCAGAGGGAATGAAGGGGGTGGCCCTAACGCAGCTCCCCATGCACCCAGGGTCTGGGCCAGTGCTGCCTTCAGGTGGGTCCCGCATGGCACGTTCGGGGCTGGGTGTGCTGTGCGGCCGCAGGCCCGAGGCTGGAGGGGTCCTGGGCTGGTGGTCTCCTGCCATGTTCTTTCTAAGTCGGAAATTACTTCAAAAAAACATTACGTGAAAAGCGGACTGCAACTCGTTGTCCAGTGGCCCTTGTGGAGGTGGTTGTCAGGACCATGCTGGACTTGGGGTCTTCCTTGCGTGTCTACAGGTCATGTCCATCCTTTTGCACGGGGACGCTGCATTTGCCGGCCAGGGCATCGTGTACGAGACCTTCCACCTGAGCGACCTGCCATCCT